GTTCTTCTAAGAACAACTTTCTGCCAAAGTTTCATCCGACTAAGTTGATATCATTTCAATATATCTCTTTCCAATCGCTTGCTGTACAATATCGTGTCACTCGTGGTGAAGATTTCAAATAGAATTTAACAAACATTAACCTTATTCAATTTATTTGAATGCAAATTACATATTATTCCTTTGTTATCGATGATTATACCTTAGAGCACACATTGACATAGAATAAAACTGGAACTTCTTCTTATTTTCAATAAATGATTAATGACAAAGTACTTAGATCAATCGTAGTTCAGAAAGTAAATCAAAGGGCAAGGGGTAAACAAGAAAATATTCGAATAATACAATGCTCAATCAACTAAACATTTTCGTAAATTCATTCGTATGCCGCTCATTCGCATAGATCGGACGGGTTCCATCGTAATTTTCACATAAACCTGAATATCCTCGTAAAAGGCTATGCAAATTTCCGCGCGAGCTGTTCCACGGCCATCAAACGACGTTTGTTCGACTGAAGGCGAGCCGAATACTTCGAAACGCGTTATTCTATCGTTCCTCGATGCAATTGCTCGCGCGTTACGTATCCGTAACGGACGCCCGTCAATGCTTCCGTTCAGCGTGAAGCTTCTCCGTGTATACGTGACCCGGTGAACGTAGGAAGTGCATTGAATATTCGCATCGCGAAATGAAACCGGCCGGCCGGAATTGAGGCGATCATCTCGGGACGGGGCCTAATGCAGCGACGGGACGTGTCGAAAGCGAGCGGATCACGAGCGTCGGTGCAGCCTAGGAACGTTACGCAGGGAGGAGCCTGGTGGTCAGGTCGCTTAATTGAGCGGCACAAGAAACGTGACTATGATCCTTGTTTATGACATAACAATGAGACGGACGGAATCAATGACATAAGACGTAGCGAACGATGATATCGCGTATGTTGTTTGGAGGGGCAACGATCAAGGACGGCTGGTTCACTATAGAACAGTGGTTCACAACTGGTTACAGCGCCGATCGTTTAAGGGCACGGAAAAATAATTAAATAATGAAGAAAAAGGACACACTTGTGGGTAGGCACAGAATATTCGTCTTTTCGTATTTGCCGATTTATTATTTATTTCGTTCAACCAGTACAGAGTAATGCGTCAATTTCACTGAGCATAGTTGGATTCAATTGATATGCACTATTCGATTAGGTCTACTGCCTAGCCTTCTTCGAGACTCTGATATCCCCATATTACTATCTAAGACGCTATATCGATTTCATTTCATTTCATAAAACTATGTCTGAAAACAAGCTCAAGAATCGCTCTAGACATTTCAAGTATCAAAGCAAATAAAAAATAAGATATCAGATCAAATTTTCTCTCCAAGCAATTTCTTCGCAAGAGATCAAGGATCACCGTCATGGTTTTCCTCGAATAAAACTCTATAATTTTTTTACATTCTTATAGTAGGGTAAAATGACAAGCGTTCTCATTTAACTGGACCACCCTGCTCACCATTTACCGTTTTAGTTCCTCCTAGCTTTCAATACCATCATGTCACTGTCAACGTATGGACTTCCAATAACGATTACTTCAATAACGCGATTGTATCAATTGAAAATGTTCCGGTAATATATGAACGCGATTCAAGGAAATGGATTCGCGAGTCGGCGCGCAAATAAGAGAGCATTGAGAATCTTTGCTACGAACGAACGAGAAGACAAGAAGGGACAGGAAAAGAAATCAAAAGCTCGATATTTCGCTTAGTTTCGTCGTTCTTTTTCGCTGATTCTCGCGCTCCTATTTTTGGCGAGCGGAGGAAAATGAACGGCAACATGATCGCTCCGCGATGTCTTTATTGCGATACGCAAATCGGAGGCCGATGTGGCGCACGGAAATCGGATGATGATGCGACCGCGCGAAATCTCTCTCTACCGCCCGGTATCTGGTTAAAAGTGACGAGGCCCGCCGATCGTGTACCAGTTCGTCGTAAACGCGATGCGTGCGATGTGTTTTCGGTAGCTTTCTCCCGGTGAGTGTTCTTCCGTCTCTTTTCTCACCGTGGTTTCGCTCGAGCCGAACGCACACTAACGGCTTGCGGAAAAACGCCGATTGTTTCGGAGTAACAGACAGACGAAGTTCTCTTGTCTCACCAGAATGGATAAAGAAACTTTATTCGTCTCTATTCTCCCACTACAATCCGCGACATTCTCCCGCAAACCGTTTTTGTGCTTTTGGCCTAAAAGGACGGGCGTCATCGGTGCGCCGGACGCGCGGAGCGACACGGCATGACGACCACGCGTTGCCGCTGACAATCGGGAGGAATTTGATTAGCGGTGCGAAGCAAATTAAGTGACTCTGCTGATTACGACGACGAGTTTCTGGTACTATTCTAGTCCGTGACGTTCGCGATGGTTAAATCACACACACGCACGCACACACGCGCGCGCGCGCGCGCGTGAGAGCATTCGAACCAAGCATTCGACGCGATTACACGGTTTTCAGAGAACCGCCGCTCTCGACCGAGATATAGGTCACTGCCTATGAGGTCAACTATTCGTAGACAGAGGCGGTTTAGACTCCGTGTGTTTCAGAAATGCCTCGGGATGGCTGGCCTTGAACAAACGCTAAAATTAGAGGGCTTTCGCGGGACCGCCGGTTTCTCCATGCGACGCATCGGCGGCCGGCCGAGTTTCTCCCTGTTTATGTTCATTTTTAATATCGTTCATAACACGGATCCTCGGGTATGACATCATTGCAGATGCGAGCGCGCGATAGCTGTTTCGGAACTGTTGCGAGCACCACCGGAACAATCTCGCGATTGGACGCTGGTCGTGCTGTCGTTTATTTATAGAAAAGAAAGAGCGACGCGGTAGACAGCGTTCTCTTTGCTTGATATATGTTATCGTTTCGTAGTACAATAGAGCGTCTCGTGTCCGAATTAGCGAGCTTTCGCGCGATATCCGCAGAAGCGAACGCACGTTCCTCTGACACGAGCGGAATCGTTGTTACTGTAAATATATAATTTGATACTTGTTTTGTTCAATCGGTGCGAAATACTGTGGCCTACGTACACTGTTAGGACTGAGTGTCTTTGTTCAGCAGATTTGAAGACGGCATCACTTGTGCGCGGTACTGATCCGCAAGTGACAGCTGATGGAACGCGTACGTGACACCGGCCGTCAAAATATTTAAGAAACTTGCAGAACTTAGCAATTCGTGGATCAATGTTATCTGATCATTTATTAGTTTCACATATTTCAGTAGATATCGTCGTTGATTCAGATTGAAGTTTGACACAGTTCCACAGGAAGAGCACAAATGAAAGCATTACGCGAACAGAGTATCAGAGTATCAGGGTCAACAAAGAGAAAATTACTTGAATTAATCGCACCGGAGAAATTTAATCTTGTCAGCGACAAAGGCCCATTTATGCAGGGTCGCGAAAGAAAACCAGGATAACTGGAGAGTTTATTGGATCCGGAGTGATTTAGCATGATAGTGGCGCTATTCATTGCAGGCAACGAGTTTGTAGGCCGTTGGCTTATTAAATAATTGTGCTCTATAATCTTGGAATATCTGATAAGGCGTGTTCGAGGCTGTACGAGCTGATTGAATAACCGCGTCGATTCGTCAGTCCTGTGAAAAATGCTGGCCCGTTTGAACGCGCTCGTTTGCCGCTTCACCTAAATTTCTTCCGTGGATTATCTCGCGGCGCGCACGTGTCTCACCTGCAATCAATTACAGCCGTGCAGAGGTAAGGACGTTTGAGTTATCATCGTTCGTGCCTCGAGGCGAGGAGGTTTCAACAGTTCTCGATCAGTCGTCCACTCCTCATTGTTCGAAACGAGTTTCCAAACCTGTACGCTGCGACTGTAAACGGTAAAAAATGATTGAACGGCAATGTCGATGGTAGTTTTCTTTGTCGAAGTTGTGTTAACAGTTTGACGGCCTTTGTCAAGTGCGCGGGATTTTGTCAGGTAGTATCGTAATTACGTTTTTTATGGTGACAAACTTCTATTGTATAAATCGAATCACGTCTTCAGTGTCTGCCTCAATAAGTATGCTTTAATTACTATAATTACTTGATGAGAATAAAAAAGGTCAATTATTTTCATATATTCTCAGCGATTGTTGTTTTACAAATATTATAGAGTGCAATTTGAAATTTTAAGGATTGATGGAGTTATACTTTAAACGAAAGGATTTAGATCATTCGTCGAGTTGCAAAGAAGCTTTACAAGTGTACCCGTAATTTTTGAAAAAGAATTTGTTCAAGCCCCAATTGTACATTCCAGTACTCCACGATATTGTTTTAATCTATTCAAAGATAATAAACTTTCGTCAAGCGGCCGGACTTTAAAGAACTCCGAAAGACGTACCTGTTTCGAATAATAATGCCCCTTTAAATATATCACCGTTAAAGTTTTAAAACGTTCTTACGAGTTGTTTCATCGTTGGCTGATAATTGTGAATGTTATCAGCGAGTGGAGCACTCGAAGCCTTCCAACACAAATCTGAACGCTGCGATCCACGAGTATACAATGTACATACACATTCAGCGAATTATAAACTCGACCTTAATTTCTGTTCTGTATTCCACGTAATCGAAACTAAACATCATTCGATGGGGACGAAAATTTCCGAACGATCATTGACCTATCACGATCATGCTCGTTCGCTATCGGTTCACATGCCGGGTAAGGACAACAGTTCGACACATTATTCAAGTATACATAACGCGACACGACACCTTAAGTCTCGCTTCTTCAGGCTTGATCGAAATAATTTCCATGGCAATGATTTTTCCATTGATTTGCCCGCTCATTACTCATTTGTTTACGTTGGTGCATTAACTTTCACTACGTTTATACATTCTTGTCCATGCAACTTCGACAGTATACTCTAGAATATCTACATCTATTCCCTCGTCGGGCCTCGAATATTTTTATGCGTCGTCGTCATTTTCGAATACTTCGGTTACACGTGGATGATAAAATCTTGGTTTCACGTTGATCATAGGTGAGGATCCGATGCTAAGCGACCAACAGCAGTATCGATACATGACTGTTGACGATATGAAGTCCATGGCGGATGACTCGATGCGCGTCAACGTGACAGACGACGAGAGGGACAATCGGCATTCTGGAGGTGAGTTACGTGTTCAACTAATTCGTCGCGCATGTCCCGGAAATGTTTGCACGTTTATGTTGATTTCTCAGGCGATCCCCTCGTTAGGTCCGTCTCGTAGCTTATCAGCTAATGGATTTTTAATTTAGTCTCAAACAAAACCTCGAACCATTTACAACTGTGGACAAACAGATTCGTGTCATGAAGAAATTCGTGAAAAAGGGAGCTGTGAATTGATAAACTAATGACTTTATTTCGATGAAATTTGTGTAACATTTAGATCATTTTTTAACGTGAATAAACACGGAGATACAAAGTTTGTTTTCTGTAGTTTGCTAATAAATTTGGAGAAACGTATATTTTTTACGTATTAATTCATTTGGTTGTACACTTTGATAATAGATGCCAACGATTATTAGAATAACGATTTACTCAATTTTTCAAATGTTACTTTTAAATTGTGCATTTATGTAGCATGTTTTTTATATTTGAATATTCAGTTCACTATTTACGTCAAAGATTTCTTTCAAAGTAGTTATTTATTCAGTACATCGTGCGTGTTTTCGATTCACGTTCGAGAAATTATACCGTAGAAGTTTTTCGAAGGAATAATTGTATATACGCGGAAATACGGAAGTGATGTCAAGGTCGTGTTAATTCCTTCTAGCGCAGCGCTGCTTTTTGTCTTTATTGGTAGTATGGTAACGATTATAACTGCCCTCCGGTTCAACGAGGCATAATGAAAGGTTATTCGGAATAGCATAAAGTCACGAGTTAATCGTAAGTTCGCATCGATGCTGGGCTGTAATCTTCCAGGCGCTCAAATGCAATTTTGAATTCATTTTCCCGACCGGCTGCGTACTTGATCTAATTTGATGCTTGTTGATAAGTGTAATTTTCGCAAGCCATTACGGGAAAATCTGCCGCGGATCTCTGGGAGTGATTCTAGGGCAAACAATGCAAGACAATTGAATATTTCGTACACCTATCATTTATCGTTCTACTTAACTAAACACTGATTTTATATATTTTTTTGCGAATTACATTTTTTTTTAATTCAATATTTTAATTATT